AATTCTTAACTTTGTTTAAATTTTTGTTGGTGGAACAAAAATATGAAGTAGTTATCTAGTTACACACCAAAATTGAATTATGGTCTACTGTTGCAGTTACTTAGGTAAATAGACAATAGGTAGGTACTTTTATCTATATGGCTATATTTTTAAATCCCTTATAGATAGGTCAAACTAGCAATCACACTTAAAAAGGGGGGTGTTGGGGGAATATCATCCAATGACTTCTCCAGCCCGGGTGAGGCGAGAGGGAGTGTCAGAGACTTACCGACTGAAAGTAACCCCGTTCCTACTCCTGCTCTTCGAGCCGGAGTCCCGGCAACCCGTTAATTTCTCCGCGGCTCCGTATAGTGTAGGTATTCCTAGGCATTTAAGATGAAAAGGAGTCGGTGGGTGCCAAGTACACACATAAATACACACTTTATAAATGTAATAACAAAGTAGACATATCTAAGTTACCCAGGTAGTTTATATTTACAAACTGTTCTACGTAGGCAGGTACTAATAGGAACCTAGTGTTTATTTATTTACATTGGAACGTAAACAAAGCATTTACTGGTGCACTATATGGTGGTATTGTAAACACATGAGGCACGCCATTTGGAATAAAAATACGTACAAGCAAAATACAATTATTTACTGTTCATTTTACTAGGTCAGCTACCTAGAAAACTTTTAGCTCGACTATCGTATGAAATGGATAGGTACCTATTGGGTATTGGGTACGGTATGATAGGTGACAACTAGATATCTACATAACATAACATAGGTAGGTAGAAATATAATTAAGTAGGTATTATACAGAGGCTCTGAAGCGGTTTTATTTAGAGGTCCCAGTGCAGGCTATTTTTTTTTTGAGGGGTGAAAATTATCCAATGACTTCTACTTACTTCTCCCGAGGTAGGTGAGGTGAGGGGGAGTGTCAGACTCTTACTGACTAAAAACCACCCCGTTCCTACTTTTGCTCTACGAGGCGGAGCTCGGGCAACCTGTTTACTCCTCCGTGGCTCCGTATCGGGCATCAGCCGTATTGGGCCCCATTTGTGGTGGTCTGATGGATCTTTGAGGGGTGTGCTGAATGCGACGCGCTAACCAGTGCTCTATGCTATTGGTGGCCACTGGAGTTTTAATGAAATCTCACACACCCAAGTCTTTCTCCGCAAAGGCTAAGATTCCGTAGACGAAGTAGGTACTTACCAGAGTACCTACTTGCCTATATCTAGGAGCTAGGTACCTATAGAAGCCCATGAGGTTTGTCATAATTTCCATGCTTAACATGTAGTAAGTACCTACAGGGAATTAGGGATCGCAATAGATTCTCCCACTAAGAGAATGCTTCAGTTCGTAGGTACTTTTAGGGTATAGGTAACCTATTCTTAGTCAAGTCCACAGATGATATACCTAAACAACAACAAAATAAAAAAAGTTACGCCTGCCTCGCCAGTACCTATGTATCTAATAAAGAATTAAAAACCTCATTCAGACGAATCGATCGACGGCATTCCTTTGAAACCGATTGATGTGTAAGTTTGTAACCTTATACATACAAGTACAAACCAATTCTATTAGTTACCAGTCAGTTAATCTAACTGTTAACAGGAGGTCAAATAGAATAGTTAACACATCGATTGATCCTTTGGCAGTTAAAATAGATTTCAATTTGTGAGTTCAACTTGAGTTCGAAGGAGCGTGAACTGTTTTATTGACTGGTACCTAAGTTGGTACCCGAAATAAATAAAAATATTCAATTTTTGTGCAATTAAGAGCGCTCTTTTTCTTTATTGAAAATAATGTAGTTAGGTACTAAGTCTCCATCATCAGTACCTATAATATTAACTACAAGACGTTCATTTTGATTAGTTTTTTTAAGGGGGAAAATAATCGAATTACTGCTCCCGCCTGGGTGAGGCGGGAGGGAGTGTCAGACTCTTACTGACTAAAAACCACCCCAAAGTTCCTTCTTCTGCACGTCGAGCCGAAGCCCCGGTAACCCGTTAGGTTCTCCGCGAATTTTGACTAGTTTGGCGATACCTATAAAGAAGGGCCAAATTAAAAGTACCTACATAACATTTGTATAATGAAATGATAAGATTCATAACGAACTCAACAATAGTAATAATTGTTCCGTGAGGAAATCGAAACCGCGACATGTTGCACAGCAGTCGGTCGACGAGCCATTGCACCAACCTTGCAGTCAAATCTTCTGCTAAATAGGGCTAATATAAAGTGTACGGACACTTTCCAAGTAATTCAGCTTTCCACCGACTAGTAGGTAGGTGCTTAAACTACCAAAGTAGTTTCGGATACCCACTACCTATAGGTACCTAAGTAGGTACCTAATTACAAGTCACAATTTAGGTACAGAAGGTTTTCACGACCGTGAATGTATTCTAGGTACACTTTTAACAATTGTCCTCTTTAGGCTTAGTGGAATTAATGATTATGTCGAGTTTAAAATGACAACAATTAATTATAGTGTATGCTGATTAGTGTAACAATGTTTAGACATTACACGGAAGCTATTGGTAATTGCTACATGCTGTCTTGCAAGCTCCAGATGTGGCCTTTACCTAATTGTTTTGTAAGTGTTACGTCAGACGACCCACGAATAAATGTGCGACTTTTATTTCATGTTTGTGTGGAAGACCCCACGGGACCATAACATAGTCAAAGTCAAAGCAAAAGCATTTTCTTCAATTAAACCATAATTTGGAACTTTTGAAACGTCAACAAATACAAAATAAATAATAGTCTGTCAGTCAGTCCGTCAGTGAAGCTAGGTGCGTGCATGCATAGAAGTAAGTAGGTAGGTTAGTATCTATTTTCCTTTTTTTTCAACGTCCTTGCCCTGCCTTAAGTTTTTAAAGGTCTATGGTACTTAAAAGAAAAAAAAACGTACCTACCTACTTCATCTAAAAAGTTCGGCAACACACTTGACTCCTTGGGTGTTGCGGGTGTTCGATGTGATTTGTGAAACATCAGAAAAAAGATAACAACAAATACAAAATATATAGATTACAAAATGTCGCCATTATCATAGATGAATGTACCAAACGTGTGTGCCTAATAGCTAGGGCTAAGCCTCGCACGAGTGGCTTGAGAGTTAAAACACCCTTAGCTCAGGATATAAATCAAGAAAAAATAAATCGGATCGGCGTGTTTCCGGATTTCTTTCATTTACGATTTTTATGAGAACATAATTTATTAGGTATAATTGGGCCTCCTGTAACCTCACTCACATGACGAAACGCAGCGCAAGCGTTGTTTCACGTTGGTTTTCTGTGAGGGCGTGGTATCACTCCAGTCGAGCCGGCCCATTCGTGCCGAAGCATGGCTCTCTCACACTTAAATAATCTACACACTCTACCTCTACATCTACATAGCTAAGAGTCGACCATCAGGCGAGATAGTGGTCAAACGTCGGCCCATTACATATAAAAAAGACTATTAACAGGTGGATTAAAGATTGTAGTTTGAAAGATGCAGTGCTCTGCTTCTTCAATGTCTTCACAACGTAGGAACTTGGAAGGGTTTAACTTTTTGGAAACGTCAAAATCTATTCTATCAACAAAAACTTTGAGGCATACTTTATCACCAAATAATTCACCATCAAAATACCTGTATCACAAACCGCCAACGTTCCGCATAGCCCGCCAATCTGTGCGGGACCTAATTGCATCCCAGCCACAGGTGTGCACGACTCATAATCACTGCTCATGATAATATTGTATGCACAGACTCAGCTAAGGAAATGGCGATTAACGTACGTCGTACGTCGAGAATGTTATAGGACAATGAAATTATTTCTTGAGCGATGTCTAAGAAATCTAGTCTTATGTATAGGTGCTTGGGAAAATTGTTAAATAGTATTGTGATTTTTTTTTCAGTTCTTCAATTTATTCTTTTGAATAGAACGGAGTCGGAAATGCGTAGCGCGGAGTGCGTATGGTATACATATACAGTCGGCTATTCATTACATGAGATTCATTTTAAGACATCCCCATTTATTACATGAGATTTAACTTAACTATCACTCTGGATCAGCTGTGATATAGGAAAGATCTGAAAATAAGTAGGTAGGTATTACGAAGACATATCTTCAATTTAAATTCTTTACCAATGAGGAAATATTAACAACTTTAAGAAAGAAAGAGGTCAGTTATGTAAATAGACTCCTAAGAATACCTATAACTTCCTGGGATAGAGTTTGCCGTATTTCTAGTGAATCTAGTATGTTTTACACGAGAACTTTCTTATTTAGGTATCTAGGCGTTCTTCCTATGTCTAGAGACTGTGAACTGTGAATATTCTATGAACCTTCGTGGATAAATGACAGACGAAAACGTTGCGTAACACTCTGATTACAACATTCTTTTATTTCTAAACTTTACAAAAGTGTGTGTAATTTAATCAACGTGTAACTACTTATGTTATATTTTTCAAACAGTGCCTACCTACTTGTACGCTGCTCACAATATTTGTTTAGCAACATTACCTGCCTCACTCCAGATCGCAGATAGGGTTCGCGTTCCCTACCACCATTATCGCGGTTCACGCGATTCTTGCCACCATGACCTCTGTTTTGTTATTGACTTTCTTCTGATACAATATCACAAAGTGGGTCAGCGTGTATGAAGAAAGTTGATAAATTCAGCTAGATTACTCAACAATGGTCGAGTGTAGTTTCGCTGCTAGTTTATTGAAGGCATGCGCCGGCGAGTTGTGGAGTGTTTACTTATTAATTAGGGCAGTCGCTCATGTCAGTTGATGGGAGCAGCTAGTGCGAGTGGTGAGAAGCAAGGAAAGATTTACGAGGAGTCGGTGGCTCGTGGGGCGACGGCGACGGGCGACAGTCGGCGCGCGGCAGTGCGCATGCCCGCCACTGCGCCACTGAGCGCGCGCTCCCCCTAGCGGCGCGGCGCCGCAGTGAGTTGCGTAACAAAAGCACACTCGGCTCCGAGCGCTACGCTGAAAACTTTCGGCCGGTCGGCCCGCGCCTACGGGATGGAGAAACGTAAAATCATATAAAACTTTTCCGCGGTGCGCGCCGTCTGACTCGCTTCAATTCTTCTTGTCTAATTGGATAGTCTCGGACACGGCTCGATCGTCGCTTCTGCTTATTTTTAAGTTGTACAAGTTTCCTCTTCAAGTTGACTGTGGCGAAAAGTGAACTGTTGCGGTTTTCGCCGGCCGCTTTTATAATAGTGTGGACGTTCTAAGTGTTGTGTTCACTTGCTTTGTTTTTATTTGCTCGAGTGGTGGCTGGCGGTGGCCCGCGCTGGTGGTGGGAATCGATACTGCGGTGGGAGCGGCGAAGGTATTTTATTTTTTATTACTTTTTGTATTAAATTATAGCGCAGTAGCTTTTAGACACCGGCCGTAACTTTATATTTATTGCTACGCCGGCGCTCCAATATGCGGGTAGTGCGAAAACTGTAACTTTAGTAACAAACTTTGAAAATGCTGTTTTAGACGATAAGTAGAGTTTTCAATGTACGGAGTAACTTTGGCACTAGTTTAAGCAGTACTTACATAAGTAAAAGATACGTAAAAATTTTGATCGTTACAGATTATGAAACTGTTTGAAAATTGACGTTAAAGACTGACACCTCTTTTGAACTCTACAAGAAGACGTAGAAAACTTTCTTGTGTACGTTTCTTGAGAGTTTTTCTTCTGCAAAAAATAGAATGTCTCATAAAAACACTTTATTATTTATGTACTTCACCTTACACCATATTCTCACGAAGCTATCGCGACGAACTCTTCATCCAGCAGTTACGTACGTTCACCAACCGCTTACACTTTCTACGCCGAAATTTTATTCCCAAATTTGGGATACAGCCAACCCAATGACGTAGATACCTACAAACTAGGTCAGACATATAGGTCTGGACTCCAACTCCAATATTTTACTACTTTAAACATTACTTAGGAGCTTATATACTTTATAATGTAGTTTATGTACATTTATTATATTAATTTAATTGCTTTTTTGATGATGAAGTGCTCGTAAATGTAATGGCCGAAGAAGGGTCTATGTTCGACTTTAGAGTTGGACAAATTATAAGGGGTGTTTTTTTGGAAACTCTTAGCCATTCTTAGTTTGTGGGAAAAGTCTTGCTTTTTTCCTATTCTACATATATGTGTTTTATAATATACCTGGAGGAAAGTGGGCGTTACATTTAATACCGTACTATTTACTGACGCTATAGAGGTGTGAAGATGTTATGTTTTAATTATATTAATCAGATGTAGATATTTATTGGTCTATTTATAATGCTTCGGATAGTTGGCGCGTACAGCTTCCTTTGTCATGACATTGCACCGGTGAAATACGTTACTCATTTTATTCAACGTAATAAAAGAATATGAAAAAATATATTACAGTATATAAAAGATCGGAAATATCTTAACAGCATATAGACATACACTTATGTGCAATGTTTAAAGACAATAGATAAAATATATCTTGAAAGACTATTAAAAGAACCAATATACAGATATGTCTATGTTCATTTTATTATTGTTTTCCTGACATTTCTCCTGTTTCTACATACAAATTGATTAGTTTAAATTAAACCAATGAAATAATTTAATTACATAAACATTTCTTTCTTTCTTGTAATGACGTAAGAAGGTAAAATTGTTGCATGCATCCAACATTAATTTTCATAAATATTCAACACAGCTTCAGGTACAGCGTGAAAAAACATATGAAAAATTGTTACGTCCACCACTCGACATGAAACGATTAAACACGTATAAATCAAAGCGTAGCAGGTCAAATGAAACCAATCCGTCAATGTTTTTAGAACATTCTCAACTTTATTACAAAATGTTAACGTTGAAAGTTCGATGAAAAAATTAGGGTAACTTGACCTGCCTGTAAAATCGCAGCTAACCAACGCGTTTACCTCGCAAAAACCTTTCCAAATATACTTAATAGGGGTTCAAACAAATTCGTGTTAATTTATGTTTAATTCCAGCTCAAGGGTTGGCCGAAATTAATTTATATTCTCCTGAAAGATTACCGTTTAATTACAGGGGGTGCTGATAAAAGAAAACTGTGTTATTATGAACTGGCTTTTACCCGCGTCTTCGCTCGCGTCACAAAAGGATAAAAAGTAGCCTATGTGACATATACCAATAGACACAGCGCCATCTATACTAATAATTTCGTTTTCCCTCGAGAACATAATTTTTTTCCGGGATAAAAAGATAAAAAGTACTCTATTATTTAATCCAGACTTCTAACTTCACATCTGCAAAAAATCAAAACAATCGGTTTAGTAGTTACGGCGTGAAAGTGGAACAAACAAACAAACAAATTCACTTTCCGATTTATAATATTAGTAAGGATTCCTGTTTGAGTCTTTTCTGTTTCTATTTGGTTTGTTGTTACGTCCTATATATATACTGGATTGGACTGGGTTACATTGTTCTCACACAATTGAACTAACAAAACTATGTAACTAGAGAATTGTATTGTGAACTTGATTGAAAAAGAGTCACCTATGAAGTTTTTTGCTTGTTCGTTTCCATAGGAATCTACACCTTGGAATGAGATGAATAGCTTAATTCATAGGTGCCTTTCTGGTCTAATTGAAATAAATGATAGACTTTGACTTTGAAACTGGCTTGTACAGCTCGTACTTATGTATTAAGGCAATCTTTTACGATCTTGTGCTGATCCCAAGTAGCCTGTAAGGGTAGAATGGAGAAAAAAGTCGTGGATGTGTATCTAAGTGCAATCCTCGAAATCTTGGAGAGATTTTCGAAACTTGATAGATTCGAAGTCCCATCAAAGAAAGGTTACTGTTTTACCCCACGCAAGCCAATTTATTTGACACTGAAAGCCCAAAAACATACGCGAATTATATTGGCACCTCGACATTCACATTGAAACCAAAATTCTTTGTAATCGTCGACTTAGCTACCCAGCTACGAGTACCATAACACAATGAGATACAAAGTACAAACACACCTGACCAAGCCATGTCACCCTGGATATTCTCATCTCATATAACAGAAATAACTCCTCAGTTTGGCGCCGTTACCCCTGAATCAGTTTGATGAACGACCTCGTAAAATTGTTAATGGACTGTTCGAGCTGCGTGTCACACTCGTTGAGATTACAACTAGCCACTATGTCCAGTTTTATGTTGATTAAATCATCTATCTTCTTATGTACCCTTATAAAACTGTGATTACTCTATGCAAGGTTTAATATGATAAGGATATGGTAGGGTACGGTCTTTTACAACTGTCGAAATACTAGCCAGATGTACGTTATCAAAATGTCCCAGCTTTACTTCATCTCCATTTTTTATTTCCGCATGAAATCTTTCTAAAGCAGGTTATGAAAAAGCATCAGTTGGATACAAATCAAACAGACGCGGTAATCTTGACACTAATCGTAATTTATCATCACCATCGTTCTACAATACGATCCCTAGATATACAGATAATCGTAATTTATTCAAAAGCATTCTGATATCCTATTCCCTTTCGAAAATACCTACACATATAGAGCACAATGAAATGGCTAAAACCTTCCGACCAATTCATCTTTCGGATCGGCTATCGGCGTCACGTTTTAAAATCGCCGAAGCTCCGGCACGTAGCCAGACATTTATTGGATAAGGACCCGAGGGAAGCCCTCTCGAGGGAAGAGGGAAATTATCTTACAAACACCCAATTTGTTCAGAACATTATCGGACTTTCTATCGAAACCTTCGCCGTTGTTTGTTTCATGAAGAAGGTTGCTGTGGTATTACATCACAGGCTAAACAGGTTTGCTTTAGAAATTGATATTAGGATTCCTCTGGTCTTTTTGTCAGGAAAGTGCATGTATTTTCCTTCTTGGCTAGAAATATTTAGTATCGTTTTAGGTCTGAAGGAGATCCTTATATTCATCCACTAAAATCTATTGATAGTCTGTTTACCCTTTAGACAGATGTGCATTTTCTTTTGAGTACATAATACATAACATCAGAAATTTTATTGCAACCGAATCATTTGTTCCACTGTCACAGCCGAGACGAGACGATCATGTCTGTATGAGTTATCGTCTGTTATGAGTTTGTACTTTTATTTTCCAGTTGAAAAAAGTCGTTCTCAAGCGAAAACAAAAGAAAATGCCGTCATAAATAAATCTGGAAGTAGGCCTTGTGTATGAAATATCATCAGGAAGATAAAATACTTGGATCGAAGCCAATACACGCCGCGAAAGCCTCCTGACCTCTTACTTAGACCATAAAACGAAATCGAGACTTGAGTGTAGGTGGTTCTATGTCTCGACGTTTTGATAAACAACTAATTGAAACAAAGGTTTTCTATTTACTCGTACCTACATTGTTGAGCTAGGATTTATTAAACCTTCACCATCAGACCTTTTTAGTACACAGGTTGACCTCTGAAATATTTTCAACTTTATTATTGTTTAGCAATAAAGTAAAAAATCTATTAAAGAACTTTAGCAAGTGCTGTTTGTCTATTTGCTGATACAATAAGTTTGAAGGTATATGTGCTAGAACCTACTTCGTCGCTCACATTAATAATAAAAGCGCTCCGAATTGCAGCTCTAAGGGTAATAAATACGAAATTGGAGTAAATTATTCGCTTTGTACTGCAAGCTTCTGTTTTATTCTGTAAAGCAATCTGTTTTGTTTGACTACCAGATGGAAAGTAAAGTCTGCTTTTGAGATTTATTTCGAGTGATGATAGTCATCATTGATAAATTTATCTTTTTTAATTTACCTACTAAGTTTATAGCTAGCTGACGGTATACAGTGTATCTCACGTTAATTTTCAATGGTCCTTCTCTTAAATAAGTTTAGATACATTATAGAGTTCATAAGTATTTACAAACAAAAAGAACATACTGTAGGTATGTTCTACACTACACGGCCTATACTTCCATGTCCCTCTCGCGTCCGGGCCTAGTGCAGGCCATGATGCGGAGCGAGGGGGATTGGGATGCCGTCTCCTCCTTTTGCGAAGCAGTCATGCTATCTAAGGAGGAGGCGGGACGCGTGAGGCAGCGAAGCGCTGCCTCCTCGCAACCCAGCCATCGCGAAGGACACACCGGGCGTCGGGGATCGCGGGACGATCTCCGGCCACCGTAAGCGCGGGCCTGCGGACGGCGAGCATGGGTGGCTCCCCGTCCGACCAGAAACAGACCCGAGCGTACGGCGCGTCGCGTTCCGCGCGCGCCTCAAAGAGCCATCAGACCACCACAGATGGGGTCTATTGGACCCCATCTGTGGTGGTCTGATGGCTCTATGGGCATGGGAATGGGCAGATGCCGATTCGGA